CCCTCCAGCACTACAAGGTCCGGGGCGGGTGGGCATGGGCTGGGGGGCAGGCCTCCTGCCTCTGGATCGGCCAGAGAAGAAGCCCAGCCTCTGCTCCCTCCCACCCAGGTCCCAGACGGGGCCACAGTGAGGCTCATCCCCCAGCTGCACAATGGAGGCGCCGTCTCCCAGAGCCTGGCCCAAAGCTGCTCCTCCGGGGAGAGTGAGTCCCGAAACCCAGATGTGTGCCTCTGTCCCCAGGAGCTCCAGGCCACCTGGCCATACCATCACCTGGGGCTCCCCATGCCTTGCCAGCGGGCCTGCCAAAACTCCAGGCTGAGCAAAGGGCCTGGGGCAGTGAGGGTAGCGATGTGTCCCAGTCAGGGAGCCCTTGTGTCGGGCTGAACAAGCCCCTGGGGGGCCACCCTCCTTTCCACATCATTACCCGCTGCTTCCATGGGCTCCTCCCAGCCTCTCCCACCTTGCCAGATGGAGTGGGGTGGGCAGCGGGGCATAGGGCTGAGGCCGGCACATGCGTCCCCAGACATCCCCATGCTGGAGGATGGCGAGGAGAGTGGGGTCCGCCTCTGGCACCTGGTAAAAGGCACCGAGGAGCCAGAAGGGAACAAGGTTCGGCGCAGCAGTCTGCGGGAGCGGGAGCGGGAGCGGGCACGGGCCAAAGCCATCCCGGAAATCTACCTCACCCGCCTGCTCTCCATGAAGGTCAGTGCAGCTGGGAGCTGGGCCCCGGGGGAGCCAAGTGACAGGAAGGCTCACCCAGGGGCCCCTGCCTGAGGTGGGGAGCGCACATGCTCCTGAGAGGCTGAGGGGCAGCTCCACGTCCGCTGATGGAGCCTGTTCCCCTGCCTGTCCAGGGCACGCTGCAGAAGTTCGTGGACGACACGTTCCAGGCCATCCTGAGTGTGAACCGGCCCGTGCCCATCGCCGTCAAGTACCTGTTCGACTTCCTGGATGAGCTGGCAGAGAAGCATGGCATCGAGGACCCAGAGACCTTGCACATCTGGAAGACTAACAGGTACCGTGCAGATGGGACATGCATCCCAGACGGACAAGGCCATGGCCATGATGAGGGCAGTGGGACCTGAACCGGAAGCCAAGCTCGGTTTCTGGCCACCCCCAGCATGGACTCACGGGACCGCTCAGGGCCCAGGCTGGTGAGGGGAGCTGGGCTAGCCACGCCTCACACCCACGGCTGGCCTGTGTCTCCAGCCTGCTGCTCCGATTCTGGGTGAACACGCTGAAGAACCCCCAGCTCATCTTTGACATCCGGGTGTCAGACAACGTGGATGCCATTCTCGCCGTCATCGCTCAGACCTTCATCGACTCCTGTACAGTCTCAGAGCACAAAGTGGGCCGGGTGAGAGCAGAGCCAGCCCATGGCGAGTGGCTGCAGAGCCCTGGGTGGGGCTGGGAGGGAAGGCACATAGTGGGGACCAAGGGGAGGGGCATTGGTGGCGCGGTCAGGGTGACAGGGCCAGAGCTCCTCCTCCTCACTCCCTCCCTCCCCCCAATCCCGAGCAGGATTCCCCGGTGAACAAGCTGCTCTACGCCCGGGAGATCCCTCGCTACAAGCAGATGGTGGAGAGGTAGGTGTTGGGGTGCCCGGCTGGGGGTGGAGGCTGCCTGCCCCTAACAGTGTCCCCTCCTCCAGGTACTATTCTGACATCCGCCAGAGCTCTCCCGCAAGCTACCAGGAAATGAATTCAGCTTTGGCCGAGCTCTCGGGGGTGAGGCATGGCCCAGGGACCTCTCCACGTTTAGGGGACAGGGTGTAGGGGGAGGCTTGGGGCTGGAGGCCCAGACTGGGGACTCACACCCTCCCCAATGTGCTGCCCCCAGAACTACACCTCTGCTCCCCACTGTCTGGAAGCCCTGCAAGAACTCTATAACCACATCCACCGGTATTATGACCAGGTGAGACCAGGGCGCTCTGGGGGGGAGGGGGGACTCCCCTGGGGGTGGAGGAGGCATCCGGGCCCACCCCTGCAGGCGGATGCAAGGAAGGGCCCAGGTTGGGAAGGGGCTTGGTTTCTGTTTGTTTGTTTGCTTGCTTGCTTGTTTTTATTTATTTTTATTTTTTTAAAATATATTTTATTGATTTTGTACAGAGAGAAAGGGAGAGAGATGGAGAGTTAGAAACATCGATGAGAGAGAGTCATCGATCAGCTGCCTCTTGCACACCCCCCACTGGGGATGTGCCCGCAACCAAGGTACATGCCCTTGACCGGAATCGAACCCGGGCCCTTCAGTCCCCAAGCCGACGCTCTATCCATTGAGCCAAACCGGTCCCGGCTGCTTGCTTGTTTTTATTGATATCAGAGAGGGAGGGAGAGAGAGAGAGACAGAAACATTAATGATGAGAGAAAATCATTGACCAGCTGCCTCCTACATGCCCCACACTGGGGATCCAGCCCACAGCCTGGACATGTGCCCTGTCCAGGAATCGAACCGTGACCTCCTGGTTCATAGATGGATGCTCCACCACTGAGCCACTCTGGCCCGACTGGTTTCTGTTTAGATTTCCCAGGGAGGCCCGGGACAGCCCTGCTGAGATACAAGAAGGGCCGGGTAGCACTGAGTCAGTGGGCAGAGGGCTGGGGGCTATTGAGGGGTGCCCTCCTCTGCCCCGGCAGATCATCAACGCTCTAGAGGAGGACCCTGTGGGCCAGAAGATGCAGCTGGCCTGCCGCCTGCAGCAGATCGCCGCTCTGGTGGAGAACAAGGTGACTGACCTGTGAGGGCAGGCCACGGTGGGCGCCTGAGGCCCAGCAGCTTGGAGGGAAGCCAGCAGGACCCACCACCACAGTGCCTTATGATTCCTGGACCAAGCAGAAGAGGGGCTGCAGAGAGTGGGGGGAGAGGGAGGGGGAGGGTCCCTGCAACCTCTCCCCCATCCTTCCTCCCTGCCCCGGGCTTTTTTCTAATTTATAGCAATCCTTCCCCCTCTTCCTCATTATATTTATTTGCTTGCTGGAAAGTTGCATCTGGAAATAAAATCTTTTTAGAAAAAAGTACAGTCCCCAGCCCCTTCCTTCCGCTGGAGTCCACACAGCCCTCTCCTCGGTGCCATGGCTGTGACTTCCTGAGGAAAAGAGAGGTCATGGGGGCATCCTCAGGCCTTGCTCTCCTTTCTCCCTTTGCCTCTACTGCCCCCTGCAGGAACAGTGTCCCTGCCCTCCCATCCCTGTCTATGCCCACCCCACCCTACCGTTCTTTCCTGGCACAGGGACACAGGACCAAGTGTCCCTCATCCTGGGCTAACCATAGTCACTGCTAAGCCCCCGTTTCGTTCTGAGTCCTCAACAGTCCCCAGCTGCCGGCTCTACCTTAGAAATTTTTTTAAATATATATATATATATATATATATATATATATATATATATATATATATATATCCTATATAATAAAAGCATAGTATGGAAATTGTCCCCTCGACCAGGATGTTGTCTGCAAGTTGACCAGGGGGCAGGGTGGGCCTGGGGAAGGGAAGGAGGCCCCAGCTGACAGCACTGGGCCTCTACTATATATATGTTTGATTTCAGACAGGAAGGGAGAAGGAGAGAGAGACAGAAAGATCAAAGATGAGAGAGAATCATTGATCGGCTGCCTCCTGCACACCCACACCAGGGGTTGAGCTGGGAACCCAGGCATGTTCCCTGACGGGAATCGAACTGTGACCTCCTGGTTTATAGGTCGATGCTTAATCACTGAGCCATGCCACTCAGGTCGGCTCCACTCTTGCCCCCTCCATTCCATCCTGGGAGCCGCCAGAGTGCCCATCTGTCTGCCAGAAACCCATCATTGGCCACCCAAGGCCTCCCCTCCATTCCCCTACCCCAGCCACTCTGTGGCCAGGCCAGCCACGGAGGTTGCCAGCCGAGCAGGCTTCCAGCCCATCTTTTTGCCAGCCTTACCCCAACCAGCCCCTTTGTCACCCTGGAGACTTACCCTTCCACCCCCTTTCTGAGGACCAAACCATTCTTCTTGGTCCCCTCGGATGCAGCTCCAAGGTCACGAGATCTGCCTCTGACCTGGACATCTCTTTGTCACCAGCACACGAGAGCCATGGGCTTGTTTGCTCCCCACTAGACTAGGACCCCTGAGGGCAGGGCCGGTGTGGACAGCTCCCTGTGCCTCCCACTCGGGCACATGGCACATGTGGGTGGAGACAATGAGCGGGGCCGGGAATGGCAGGCCTGAAACAGAGCTGCAGGAGACTGCACAGGGTCTCGGTGCCAGAGGCCTGGCTGGCCAGGTTCCCAGGCTTCCATTCGGCCGGCACCTCGGGTGGGAGGAACCAGTTGCCTTCAGCTCGTGTCCCTGACTCTTGCCACACCAGGGCCCCCAGTGAGCCACATCCAGGAAAAGGAGGACATGGGGCTCCCATCTGTCTTGGGGGTCCATGAGACACAGGAAAAGCGGGAACCCGGCTGAGAGCGGGCAGGAAATGCGGTGCCCATGGGAATATGAGGGATCGCCTCTGGGAAGGCAGAGAATGTCCCCAAAGGGTCAATGGTGCTAGGCGAGGGGGTGGGGTGAGAGGGTGGAGAGTAGGGACTGTTCTTGGCCTTAGAACTGGTTCGCCACTTCCACGGAGTCCCTGCATGGCTGCTCCCCTCAGCTGGCTCTGGAATTCAAGAACTCAGTCTGGAGTCCGGTCGGGTCGCCGTGTCCCCTCATGGGTAACCCCCTTGGTCCTGAGGTGTCTGTGGGGCTGCTCAGTATGGAGGCTGGGTCACAGCCTGTCCCCGAGGTGGCCCCTCTGCCAGCCCTGGGGCAGCAGCAGGGGGGAACTCATCCTGGGGGCCGGGCTGTCTCTGACCACTGTGGCCGCCACACTGCCCCCTCCCCGCTGCATACCTTGCCCACAGCTGAGCAGCTGGGAGGCTATTTATAAAGGCGGGTGAGATCAGCGGCCGAGGCTATAAATTCGCAGGCCGAGACCGGGCCCCACAGGAGCAGCAGCTCGGGACGCCAGAGCTGCAGGCCATAGGGCCGGGATGAGCGCCAGCACAGGCGGTGGCGGCGGGGACAGTGTCAGCAGCAGCAATAGCAGGTAGGGCTCAGCCCTGGCGCCTGAGGGGGGTGGGGTGGGGGTGGCCCTGGCGCCTCATGTGCTCACTGCTCGCCTGCCCCGCTCGCAGCTCACAGGCCTCCTGCGGGCCCGAGTCCTCGGGCTCCGAACTAGCACCCGCTGTGCCCGCACCTCGGATGCTGCAGGGGCTGCTGGGCTCCGATGACGAGGAGCAGGAGGACCCCAAAGACTACTGCAAGGGTAAGGGTGAGGCCTGGCCTGGGGCGCAGGTGGCCAGGGGCTGCAGTGTGTGTGTGTGTGTGTGTGTGTGTGTGTGTGTGTGTGTGTGTGTGACAACTCAGGAGAAAGAGGGTGCTGGCACCAGCCCTCATGGGCCGGGGGCCACAAGGGTGGTGCCCCCCACAAAGCTCTATCCACTCCCTTCCCCAGGTGGCTACTACCCCGTGAAGATTGGCGATCTGTTCAATGGGCGGTACCACGTGGTGCGCAAGCTGGGCTGGGGCCACTTCTCCACCGTCTGGCTCTGCTGGGACATCCAGTGAGTGTCCCCTTTGCCTCCTGGGTCCCAGTGCCAGCTGGGATCCTGCCTCTGGGCTTGGTTGGGGCCACCGTGATGTTCGCATGGGGCCGGCTGGGGCTGACAGCCAACGCGGGTCTCGGCGTTGCAGGCGCAAGCGCTTTGTGGCCCTCAAAGTGGTGAAGAGCGCAGGGCATTACACGGAGACAGCTGTGGATGAGATCAAGCTCCTGAAATGTGTGAGACACCTCCCCTACCAGCTCCCAGCTCCCCGTGAGCTGCCCACGACCTGGCAATGTGGGTGCAAGGCCTGCCGGGGCTCCTGGCGGGGGGCAAGGGGGGTGGGACTCCCAGAGGGGCAGGCTCCAGCTGGCTCTACCCTGGAGGCGCTGTCGAGGGAGGGGGCCAGCAGCCCAGTGGGCATGGGAGAGGGGCCACTGCTGCTGGGAGCGACTGGTGAGGGGCAGGTTGGAGCTATTCGTGGCTGCTTGGTTTTTTGCTCCAGGTCCGAGACAGTGATCCCAGTGACCCCAAAAGAGAGACCATTGTCCAGCTCATTGATGACTTCAGGATCTCAGGGGTTAATGGAGTCCGTATCCTCTGTAGGCTGAGCAAAGCGCGGCTGTGCCTTCCTGGCTACGAGGGCCTCAGTTTGCAAATCTGCATGATGGGGGTTTATGCCTTATAAATAGCCTCACTACTTTTTCATGTGGGGGAGTGGGTACCCAGGGGGCTGAGTTATCACCAAATAGCAGGGGCTGCCTCTGTGGCACAGCTGGGCACAGGAGGAGGGCTGGCCTGAGAGGCCTGTGTCTCCTCAAGTGGCCTCTCTCTAGGATGACCACAGAATGTACCATCCTAGGGACACTAGGACCCTGGGGCAGCGGTGATCACCAAGACCACCCAGGCCCGACTCTGCACTGCCTGAGCCTCATTGCTCCCCCATGCCAGCTGAGGTTACTTGAGGCCTGGGATCCAGCTGTGCGCCCGCCAGCTATCCTTCACTCCCAGTCCCAGATGTGTGCATGGTGCTGGAGGTCCTGGGCCACCAGCTCCTCAAGTGGATCATCAAGTCCAACTACCAGGGCCTGCCTGTGCCCTGTGTGAAGAGCATTGTGAGACAGGTGGGCAGCCGGGGCCCCGTGTGACAGCACCGGGCAGCCTGGGCAGGGCTGGCAGTGCTCAGGAATGGCTCTCCCCAGGTGCTGCATGGCCTGGACTACCTCCACACCAAATGCAAGATCATCCACACAGACATCAAGCCGGAGAACATCCTGCTGTGCGTGGGTGACACCTACATCAGGCGCCTGGCTGCTGAGGCCACAGAGTGGCAGCAATCGGGGGCATCGCCCCCATCCCGCTCCACAGGTACGAGCCAGCGTGGGGCTGGGGCTGGGCCTGTGGGCCTCACCCCTGCCTGAGTCTCTGTTCCTTTCTCCCCTCCCCCCCATGCCCCTCTTACTCCACAGTGAGCACTGCCCCCCAGGAGGCCATGGTAAGTTGGGGCACCCCTTTTCCTGTGCATCTCCCCAAGTTCTCAAAGCTTGTCTCAGCCTCCCCACTCTCCCCAGCACCCCTGCAGAGGCATTTCCAAAGGCTGTTGGCTTGGATGAGGGTGATACACAGGGTGGGTCACGTGTCCCTAATTGCTTGCCACTGTGCTCAGGGAAAATACCCCACATCTTGGGCCAGGAGGGTCCAAGGCTGCCGCCAGGGGAAGCAGGCCCAACAGCTCCTCCTCAACCTTGAGCTTTGAGGAGGGATGGCAGAGATGGGCAAGAGGCTGGTGCCAAGGGGTGGACCGGAGGGGGGTCGTGCCATGTTCTAATGTCCTCAGAAGCCCAGGGGCCAGAAAGTCTTGTCCCCTATGGGGTGTGTGAGCCACAGAGGTCTGGGATGGTCAAGGGCCAGGGAACAGGAACCCTGGGGTGACCCTGGCTCTAACGACAGCCGGGTAAGCTGTCAAAAAACAAGAAAAAGAAGATGAGGCGCAAAAGGAAACAGCAGAAGTGGCTGCTGGAGGAGCGGCTGCGTGACCTGCAGAGGCTGGAGGCCTTGGAGGCAGCGGCCCAAGCTGAGGGTGAGGAGCTGAAGGCACTGGAGGGGCCCAGGGGCTGCCAAGCACGGCAACCAGGTCTTTGGCTCTCACACCACCTCTGTCCATGTCCCCAGACTCTGGCTCAAGACTAGAAGGGGGCAGCGGCTCCACCTCTTCTTCTGGCTGCCACCCTGGGGGGGCCAGGACCGGCCCCTCCCCAGCTTCCTCCTCCCCGGCCCCAGGTGGCAACCGCAGCCTCAGCCCCGGCTCCCAGACTTCAGGCTTCTCCGGCTCCCTTTTCTCTCCTGCCTCGTGCTCCATCCTCTCAGGCTCATCCAATCAGCGGGAGACTGGGGGCCTCCTGTCTCCCAGCAGTAAGCCGGGCCGGGCCAGTGGGTAGTGGGCAGGTAAGGTGGTCAGGGCCAGGCCAGCTCAGCCTCTCCCTTCTCTTCCTTCCTCAGCACCATTTGGTGCCTCGAACCTCCTGGTGAACCCCCTGGAACCTCAAAATGCAGACAAGATCAAGATCAAGATCGCAGACCTGGGCAACGCCTGCTGGGTGGTATGAGTATGGCTTGGAGAACAGAGCTGGGTGTCCCACCGTGAGGGTAGAGGGACAGGCCCACTTCCGGGGAGCCCCAACTCGGGCCTGTGGGGCACTTGGTCATTTGTTCAGCAAGGGCTCACCCAGTAGCACACTGACTAGACCCCATGGTCTGCCTGGCACAGCAGACCCAGGGCAGACCCTATAGTCCTGCCCAGGCAGAACTGGGCCCATGGCAAGGGGTGGGACCCACTGGGAAGGGCTGGCCTCTGCCTCAGATCATCCGGCCAGTTCCTCCCGGGACTTTTGGGAGCCCCAAGGCTCACAGTGAGCTCCACTGAGCTCCTTGGGTACGTGGCCCAGAGGAGGTGGGAGATGAGTGAGAGGCTGGTGGGGCAGGCCAGCTGTGGCCCCAGCTCCTCCCCAGGACTCCCTCTGCCTCCAGCACAAGCACTTCACTGAGGACATACAGACGCGGCAGTACCGGGCCCTGGAGGTGCTGATTGGTGCCGAGTACGGGCCCCCCGCCGACATCTGGAGCACAGCGTGCATGGTAGGCCTGGGCTGTCCCCACCGGGGGCCAGCCTGCTGGCCAGCAGCCTCAACCTCTCCCTCTTCCAGGCCTTTGAGCTAGCCACCGGCGACTACCTGTTCGAGCCTCACTCTGGAGAAGACTACAGTCGTGATGAGGGTAGGGGAGGCATGCCTGGGCTTGGCCTCGGGGCCTCGGGGCTTCACGGCTGCCTCCCAACCTCATCTCTGTCCACAGACCACATCGCCCACATCGTGGAGCTCCTGGGAGACATCCCCCCCGCCTTCGCCCTCTCCGGTCGCTACTCTCGGGAGTTCTTCAACCGGAGAGGTGGGGCCCCACGGGCTCAAGCTACCTGGGTCTGGGGGGGGAGGGGGGAAGGAACCTTGGGTTCTGAAAGAGGGGAGACAGGTCCCAGAACAAAGGCTATGCTGGCAGAGCCTGACCTGAGTCCCGCGCCCGCCCCAGGAGAGCTGCGGCACATCCACAACCTCAAGCGCTGGGGGCTGTATGAAGTACTCATGGAGAAGTACGAGTGGCCGCTGGAGCAGGCCACGCAGTTCAGTGCCTTCCTGCTGCCCATGATGGAGTACATCCCCGAAAAGCGGGCCAGCGCAGCCGACTGCCTCCGGCACCCGTGGCTCAACCCCTAGGCCCCGCCAGCTCCTGCCCCGACCCTCACCTGTCAGTGCCTTTAGGGAAAGTGAGACGACTCCTGCCTCCCTCCTAGAGCTGCCCTCGCCTCCCCCAAGGGCACAAGCTCTCACAACCCCCCATAGCAGGGCAGACATGCTGGGGACAGGCCCGCCTTTGAGAATGTGGTTCTGCCCCTGACCCTCACCGAGGGTCCCGAGTGCGAAGTGTGCGTGTTTCTTTTCTTAATAAAGTGTGACCTGAAGCACCGGTGTCCTGGAGTGACAGAACACAAGGCCGAGAGCAAGGGCAGAAGGCAGTTTATTCTGGGTCTGCCGTAGAAGCCAGCTGGGGTGCTGGGATTGGGATGAGGGCAGCCTAGGCCTCCACGGCCCGGCCGTTGATGATGCGGATATGGCGGATGATGTCCTGGATGGCTTGCGACGTAGTGCCCTGGCCCCCGATGTCTGGAGTGTGCATCTGCGGGACAAGGTTGGGGTACCAGCTAAGGCCCAGAGCCTTACCCTACCTGGTACCACCCTCCACTTGGGGGCAGCAGGAAGTGCCAGGTCACACACACACACCCCCCAGCCCCTCGGGCATCACACCAGCTCAACCCAAGCTAGAGGAAGGGTTTTGGAGCGGGGAAGGCAGGAGCGGGGAAAGGGGAGCCTCACGTTTTCATTGTCCATGGATGCCAAGACAGCCTTGCGGATGGAGGTGGCGTAGGAGTGGAGCCTAAGGAGGGAGAGCAGCCTTCAGTCCCCAGGACCTAAGGGGCCGGTTAGGGGGCTGATGGCCAGGCACGGAGAGGCCACTTACTTTAGGTGATCGAGCATCATGCAACTGGCCAGCAGCGTAGCCGTGGGGTTGGCAATATTCTTATTGGCAATACTCTTGCCTGTGTTCCTTGTAGCCTGGAAGAGCCGAGATGACAAAGGGGGGAGCAAATGTGGGAATGTAGGGAGTACGTTTCTATTCTTGTGAAGCATCCAGACAGGCAAATCCATGGAGGCAGAAAGCAGGATCAGGAGGTGCCAGGGGCTGGGAGGGGGGATGAGGACTGCCTGCTAATGGGGACAGGGTCTCCTTTTGGGGTGATGGAAATGTTCTGGAACTCGACAGAACTGATGCACAACACAGTGGGTGTACTTAATAGCCCTGAATTATTTACTTTTAAATAGTTACACTACGTTATGAGAATTTCATCACAATTTTTTTAAAAAAGGAAACCAAAAATGGGTCAATAAAACGTGGTTTATCTATATAACCAACTATTATTGAGTCATAAAAAGGAATGACAGTCTACAACATAGATCAACCTTGAAAACATTATGCTAAAAGAAACCATTCATAAAAGGCCATATATTATAGGATTCCATTTATAGAAAATGTCTAGAACAGGCAAATCCCTGAGACAGAAATCAGATCAGTGGATGCCAGTGGCAAGGATGGGGGGTTGGAAAGCAACAGCTGACAAGTATGGAGTTTCTATTTGGGGTGATGAAAATGTTCTGGAATTAGCCCAGCTGGTGTGGCTCAGTGGTTGAGCACTGACCTATGAACCAAGAGGTCCCCAGTCAATTCCCAGTCAGGGCACATACCTGGAGTTTCGGGCTTGATCCCCAATGCAGGGCATGGAGGAGGCAGCCAATGGATGTGTGTCTCTCATCAATGTTTCTCTCTCTCTCTCTCTCTCTCTCTCCCTCTCCCTCTCCTTCTTTCCCTCCCTCTCTCCATCCCTCCCTCCTCTCCCTTCCTCTCACTCCAAAATCAATAAAAATATTGTTTAAAAAATGTTCTGGAATTAGCCCAGCTGGTGTGGCTCAGTGGTTGAGCATTGACCTATGAACCAAGAGGTCCCCAGTTCAATTCCCAGTCAGTTTCAGGCTTAATCCCCAATATAGGGCATGGAGGAAGCAGCCAATGGATGTGTGCCTCTCATCAATGTTTCTATCTCTCTCTCTAAAATCAATAAAAACATATTGTTAAAAAATGTTCTGGAATTAGATAGTGGTGAGCTGTGAATATTCTAAAAACCGCTGAATTGTACACTCTCAGTGGGTGAAGTGGATGGCACATGAGCTATGACTCAAAAAGGCCAGCAGCTCTGGCACCACGGGCAGTACTCACCGTCTCAAACACAGCGTACACATGGCCATAGTTGGCTCCAGCCACAAGGCCAGGGCCCCCGACCAGCCCTGCGCAGACGTTGTTGACAATGTTCCCGTAGAGATTGGGCATCACCATGACATCGAACTGCTGGGGCCGGGACACCAGCTACAGGGCACGGAGGGGGCAGACAAAAGCTTGAGCATGAGAAGCCCGGGAGGGGGGGGGCACTAAAGCAGGCGGCCTCGGAGCCCAGTGGGCAATTACCTGCATGGTGGTGTTGTCCACAATCATATTCTCAAAGGTGATCTGGGGGTAGTGGGCTGCCACCTCCTTGCAGCACTGGAGGAAGAGACCATCGCCCAGTTTCCTGTGGGGGACACAGGACAGCAGCTTGGCCACTGCAATGGTCAGCTAGAAGGACGGGGTGTGCAGATGACCATGGAAGGCTGGGTTCTAACCTCTAGCCAGTCCCCCTTCTGCAAAATGGGCAGAATCCTACTCCACCTCCCCCAGGTGGGCACTGGGGTGAGGGCATAGGCAACAGGGAACAACCCCAGGCATAGCCCCTTCGTAGGTGGCCCCGAGTCCATGAGACCAGGCTGAGCAGGCTGCTCATGTCAGCTGCTTCAGGACAATTGGCAGAATGGGCAGCAGCATGGCAAGGCAAGGGCGGGGAGCATACATAATGTTGGCCTTGTGCACGGCTGTCACTTTCTTGCGCCCAGTCTCATGGGCCAGTTTGAAGGCGTATTCAGCAATGCGCAGGGACTTGGTCTTGGTGATGATCTTCAGGCTCTCCACCACTCCTGCCACGCTCTGAGAGGGGGCGGGGAGAAGAGACCTGGGTCCTATCGGATCCTGCTCCCAGCACAAGCTTCTCCTTGGGCACAGCCTGGTTCTCACTCACCTCGTGCTCCAGGCTGCTGTACTCGCCTTCTGTGTTTTCCCGGACAATGAGGATATCTATGTCCCTGTGCCGGGTCACCACTCCTGGCAGGCTCTTACAGTGGATGACGTTGGCATAGAGGTCCAGGCTGGTGCTGGGGGGAACACGGAGAGGCAGCAGGCCAGTGCCACCACACTCTGCTGGCACAGCCCATACTACCCTTGTGGAGCCCCCACCACATGTACTTGGCTCTCACCGGAGGATGTTGTTGCGGGATTTGTAGGATGGTGGCAGGTTATGGTTTGTTTCAATATTGCCTGCAGGACAGAGACAAGACAGGCAGTCTGAAGAGGGGACCCCCCAGGCTCAGTTGTGCCACCATATTCTCCATCCTGACCCAGGGGACGGACACCAAAGGCAACTCCAACCAGAGGAGATGGCTTTTGGCAACAGAAAGACTTCACAGTAAACTGGAGTGTGACTGCCTACGTGAGCCCCATGAGGGCAGAGGGAGTGCGTGTGTTCACTTGGCTGATGGCTTCTGTGAACCTAGAGGAGCACAGGCCCATACCAGACACTCAATAAGTACTTACTGAGCGAATAAACGGACAAGGCTTGGCAGCTAACCAGGTCTCTCCAGACCCTAAGAGGAAAATGGCAAGACCAGGGTCTGGCTGGATAGAAAGTGAGCACTCCTGCTTACTAATAGCTAGTAGGCCAGGCTGGTGCCAGCAAGGTGACCTTGGCCAAGGTTACTGCTGGGCCCTGAATCAAGGTGCCACAGAAGCCCCACCTCCGGGGCAGGAAGGAGCTGCCTGGAAAAGACCATGGCTTGGCCATGGCTGGACTGAGGGCACCCAGAGCAGCAGGGGCAGCGGGCATTGGGAAAAGGCAGTCAGAGGGTGCCACAGAGAAAAGCCTTTCTCAGGGCCCACGAGGGCCACCAGCCCCTCGAAGTAATGCTCTGCCTGTACTGCCTTCACCCAGAGTGCCTCGGGCACCCTGTAGCTGGCATGTTAGCCCCTCCATTTGACGGCCAGAGCCTTGGCCTCTACTCTGGTTCACCTTTGCTCACACACTCCTCACACCAAGCAGTGATGGATTAAGAATCTAGACCAAAAAAAAAAATTTTTTTTTTTAAAAGAATATGGACCAAACCAAGGCAAACTCAGGAGGGCTAGAATTTGTGTCTGTAACATCCACAGCTGTGCCAGCTGGAGCCAAGGTGGCAGGCAGAGGTTGAGAAATGCATCTCTGTGACATTTGGTTTGTAAAGACAGACTCTGAGGGTCAAATCTGACCCCAAGAGAGAGGGTTGCCTCAAGAGGGAAGAAGTCAGCCCAGCCGGTGTGGTTCAGTGATTGAGCGTCAACCCAGGAACCAAGAGGTCCCCGGTTTGATTCCTGGTCAGGGCACATGCCCAGGTCATGGGCATGATCCCCAGTAGGGGGTGTGCAGGAGGCAGCCAATTGATGATGTTTCTCTCTCATCATTGATGTTTCTATCTCTCCATCCCTCTCCCTTCCTCTCTCTCATACAAAATCAATGAAAACATATTTTTAAAAAAGGGGGGGGAGGGGGAAGTGGATGAGAGGCAGCCCATCACCAGCACAAACTAGTGCCACTAAGATCTCAGAATCGTGGCATGGACAGGTCCCCAGAAACTTCCATGCACTCTCCAAGCACAACGGTTCCCTCTAGCCAGAAAAGCCCGGAAGTCAGAGCTATGGGGCCCCAGGGACAAATATCAGCTCAGTGGCGAAATGATCACACACAGCACTCCACCCTGGGCCCCAAGCTCACCCTTCAGGGCCACGCGGTTCCGGCGGATGGCCATGATGGCGTTGCGGATGTCCTCTTCGTCAGCATTGGAGCTCACATGCACCTCTTCAAAGTCCACAGGCACACACGCGTGCCTGGGGCAAAACAGGGTCAGGGCAGCTGGCCTGGGCCCCTCCACACCTCTTCTAAGAAGCCTGCCTGGACCCACCCCGACCTGGCTCTGCCTGACAGGAGACT